GACGGCAAGATGAACTCCGAACAAAAATTGCGAGTTAATGCATTATCCCGGAAAGTTAGCAGCGCGACAGCGCAGATGGCAGTTTTATATCAAGCCCTAAAGTGCAAAGCCATGCTAGACCACCAAAGTCTTTGTAACCTAACAGACCAGCTTGACCTCTCCCATACAGGACCTGAAGCAGAAGATCACGGACACTCCAAAACCTACCCAATCTAACTCATTTGCCGATATGGTAAAAAAAGGAGCTAACAAATTTATTCAGCCCATAAATGTGAGTTCCATTGCTATATACCCCAACGACAAAATGAAGACGAGTGACGAAACCAAATCGTTAGTGCAAAAAATTATCCGCCCTGAAGAAATGAAGCTACAAGTAAGAGGCCTTCGCAAACCAAAAAAACGGTGGCGTTATCATCAGCACGGAATCGAAGGGTGATATCGAGAAGTTGCGCCAATCAACGCAATTATCTAGCTCAGGACTTTCCGTAGATGAGCCCAAAAAAAGGAATCCGCGTGTAGTCATCATCGGTGTCCCATCTACTATGCCCGACAATGAAGCCCTAACATGTCTATACCATCAGAATCTGGCGGAGAAACTGGAGAACTGTAGTCTGGACTCTTTCTTGTCTTCAATGTTCAATGTTTTTTATGTGATAGTTCAGCAAGCGATCAGAAGGATTACCTGATGCTAAGTAATCTGTGCTAAGGTGAGCATTGCCGGCCTTTTGGGATTAGGCTTTTGGAAATTTAGGGATTGGGGAGGGATGGGGGAGGGGAAGGATTGGGCCTCCGATGACCTCACTCACATGGCGAAATACAACGCTGTGGTGGTTTCACGTCGGTTTTCTGAGAGGCGGTGGCTCTCCCACACTTTGAAATATTATTATGTATTAGCCTCACAATTCAGAGAATGCAAGCTCTCTTATAAGTTGTGTTGATTGAATATAAAATAAACTACTAACATCAATTTCTTTAGCCGTTAAAGAACATTTGTAATACCGAAACAGCAAATAACTTTTCAACGGTCGATCCCTAAAACTCGTCAACACATAGAAACATTGGCTTTTCAATGAAATTAACGAAGTACATGTGTTGCTTTGGCTGTGGGCGTGACACGCAACTGCCACCGAGTAATTAAATCAGTGGTTAACTGCCCCTTAGTTGTAATAAAAAACCAATGGCGGCGGTGGCACGTAACTATTAATTTTCATGTCGGGATTTCCCATGACTGGTGCACCGCATGCGGGCGACATGGGAAATTCTGGGAACGATGCAGTAATATAATAAAGATATATTTATCGGTTTAAAATATAATTGGCTCTTCCTAGTTTTGATATGATGGAGGAATATACGGAAGCAAGACATTTTGTTATACTTGTACCTAATAGTGGCAGAATGCTTTTTTTATGTAATAGGTCGGCAAACGAACCGACGGATTACCTGATGGTAAGCAATTAGCGACGCCCATGGACACCGGCAACTAGGGATAAATTAGGGATTTGGAGAATTAGGGACTGGGGAGGGGTTGGGGAAGGGAAAGGATTGGGCCTCCGGTAACCTCACTCACACGGCGAAACACTACGCTGTGGTTGTTTCACGCCGGTTTTCTGTGAGGACGTGGTATCACTCCGGTCGAGCCGGCCCATTTGTGCCGAAGCATGGCTCTCCCACACTTGTTGGTTATCTATTTCAAAATCTATGTTTTTAATAGCTTTCTATAAGTACCTTAGTAACCTAAGTATTTACAATACATTTACTAAAAAATCATTCAGTCAGGTCCTCTCGGGCCCGGAACAGTAACAGTCTGACAATCATTGTCGCCCCACCTACGGCGGGAGAAGTCAACTGATGTTTTTACCCCTCAATAAAAATATTAGAACATGTAGACAGTATTTAATTATTTTTAACTACTTATTAAATTTAATCGTTACTGCGACACTAACCCTTCATATTATTAAGTACGTGACATATTCGTAAATTATGACTTTCTATAAAAGGCGGCAGTAAATATTTTTATGATTATTTTCAAAAACAATCATTTGTACCCTTTTATTACAACACTGCAATTATCTTAAAATATTTTTAGAATCAGTCCGTTCGTACACGAGCCCTAGTAGAGTCTGTAGTAAAATACACTGTCATAATGTTCGAGACTCAATGTCAGTATATTTTAAATAGATTCATAACAATGTCAAAGTGGTCGTTGCTCTTCCCAAAGTTAGTTTCGGTTGACTTAACATCGGCTTAAAGACGTAAACTTCAATTAAACTTAAGTTGACGTTAGTGTCCGCAGTAACGTCGTGTCGTTCTCGTATCGTCGTCGTTTACTAAGTACTTTTAGAGCCAACGTCACTATTAATCCGCTACCAAGAGAGTGTAACTGATTCGGAGATCATTTGCTAAAATAATTGCTTTTAAACTATAGCCATTAATCGTAGGATACAAGTTTGTGATTTTGTTAAGTTTTTACATTCACTTTAAGACGAATTACATGTACAAGATTGTTAGATTAATTAGCTTCTTCTGTGGCGTCACTCGCGTCGCGAAAGTTTTATAGTCAGGTAAAACTGACCTTCTTAAGTTAAGGAACTACACAAAACTGTAGTCATTAAAATTACAGTTAAAGTGTTTTGTATACTGACTCAAGTAGACTTCATAGCTGAGTTCTATTTACAAATCAATAACTTATTATTATATTAAGTTGTGCAGTTAGGAAACAAATATTAATTTTGTAAATCACACGACCTCCTCGTAAAATAAGTCAATAATAATTTTAGTTTTAGGGCTGATTTTTCAATGATTACATTAAAGTTACTTGGGGAATAATTATGATGCTGTCGCGTCAGAATGTTTGTATAAGACAGTGACAGCAACAATTTTATTCCTCAGATAACAATTATGTGACTATTGAAAAATCAGCCCTTAGTCTAGCGGCCCGCCCCTGCTTCGCACGGGTCTTCGACTATCTCGCTTACGAACAAAGAGTCCATAGGTTCCACATTAAAAAAAAAAATAACTTAACGCTTGGCAACATTTTGCGATTCATTTTTTTATATTTAGAAGCATGTACACAAATAAAATATCTGCTTTCCCATAGTTATTCGTTCCGGGGTCATAAGTTATGTTCGCACTTCACAGCTACGCGTATTGCTCGGCGACCGGCGCGGGCGCAGCTCTCGCTGTTAGCGTCATCGCACGTAATTAAATGCTAGTTTACAACCCTTGGCGAGTGCTTCTGTCTCATAAACTACAAGTGCTGTGTATGGGAGTAAGTTCCATTTGAACTGTACAGAAGGTTCAAAAAATATTACCTACAACAGTTCATAAACATTGTACAATATTTTTTTTTAACATTGTTAAGCTTTTTTTATCATTTAAACAATTGCATAGGTACTGATAACAAAAAAAGAAAAACAACCAAAAACCACTAAGGATTAGATTTGTGCTAAGATAAGTAGTGTCTTTTTCTCGTTGTACAAGCTTTGAAATGTACTGAACTGAACGGAACGTTAAAAAATACTTTTCAGAGTATATTACACTTTATATGGAGTTTTCAGATTACACTTTTCTTTCAAATGATGATGAATTATAAGTTAGGTAGTAAATTTTTGTTATATTAATATTTAATAATGATTCAAATGAAAACTCTATTCCAAAAACTACAAGAATGGCAAAAATTTCTGCAATATCTCCGTAAAATCGAATAATCTTTAATAGGATTCCTATTAAACCTTCTGACTCTTATCTGGCAGTGAATTCACAATGCTGGTAGTTCCGGGTGTTCTAGCAATGTGCTCGGTCAAGCCGACAACAAACGGCCTGCAACCCACCACGCTCCACTGAAACCCCTGAATGCCGATCATAAGACTGCACCAAAATAAACAAACAATGCGCCTTTTAGGGTTATTGGGAGCGGACAGAGTAATGTACACAAGCCATAAGTTGTTTTTAAGGTACTTTTTGTACTAGCTGATACCAAAGTTCAATAATGTAATAGATATTCCTCTTCAATTACTCTATCTATTAAAAGAAACCGCATTAATATCCGTTGCGCAGTTTCAAAGATTTAAGCATACATAGAGATATAGCGGCATAGACAACGACTTTGTTGTATATTATGAAGTGACTATTCTTATTTAAGTTTACTTAATCTTATATAAAAATATCGAGTCACATGTTTGTCCGCGATGGACTCCTAAACTTCTAAACCGATTTTAAATTTTATTTGCATCCCGTGTGCTTTTTGATCCAACTTGAAAGATAGGATAGCTTACATTTCAATTTATAGTTACTGTGACAGAAAACTCTTTGACATCATGACGTCAATGGATGGTTGTCAAACGTTGCCTAGAGATTGTAAATTTCGTCGTGAATTGTCAACACGAGTTGGTGTAATCGGTAAGGCGTGTGGATTACACCACAGAGACCCCGAGTTCGAGTCCCGCCGTAAACATGAAGTTTTTTAGTTGATGGAAGTTTTGTCGAACTTTCTGGAATATTTGAGTGAAAGTGATGAAAAATTAAGGAGCGAGAAGAAGAATAAATAAAAATGAATAACGAAATTATTGGAAGATTCTGGAGGCATGACGATCAAAAAGAATAACGAAATTGAATGTTCTAGAACCTGACCGGGGGTATATAAGCGGAACTGCGGCTCACCGCTGGCAGTTGAGTTCTAAGTCTAAAGCGATTCGGAAGAAAAGGAAGAAGTGAGAAAGAAGAAAAGTGAGTGAAATAGTGAAGTGCAGTGAAATAGTGAAGTGCAGTCAGTTAAGTGAGTTAAGTCAGCGTGAACGGCAAAGTTGTGTCAGTCGGCCGGACTCTGCTGGAGAGGAACGCCGATAACTTAACTCCGTGGACGCTGTAACTTAAGTGCAATAGAAAGTCTGAAAACCGGTATTAGTGTTTCATTTCATCCAATCCCGTAACCCAAGCCCGCATAGTCAGGAACGTGACGTGAGGCACGTAACATTTGGTGTCAGAAGTGGGATTGGAGAAAAATGCCGCTAGTGCCGCAGGACGTAAGAGGAGTGAGTACCCGTTCAATGTCAGAAGCGCAGCGTGTGAGGGAAGAGGGTGCTGCAGCGCAAACCAGCGATGCAGAAGCCAAGCCTGTGCAGGTGGATCTTCTGCTACAGCTGCAGCAAATGATGGCAGAGCAAGCGCGCCGCCAAGAAGAGCAAGCGCGCCGCCAAGAAGAGCAAGCGCGCCGCCAAGAAGAGCAAGCGCGCTGTCAGGCAGAACAGCTGCGGGAGCTGAAAGAAGAGCAAGCGCGCCGCCAAGAAGAGCAAGCGCGCCGCCAAGAAGAGCAAGCGCGCCGCCAAGAGGAGCAAGCACGCTGTCAGGCAGAACAGCTACGGGAGCAAGCACACTGTCAGGCGGAGCAGCTACGGGAGCTGAAAGAGATGCATAAGGATTTCACGAAGGGACTGCAAAAGGCTGTCGAACGGGTACAGGAAGTGGAGGAAGGGTTAGGCAAGTTGGAACATCGCGTCATGGCCATAGAGGAGAGAGTGGAAGAAGAGATCTCCAAAATCAAGCAGGAAATGACAAGCCCAAGCCCTTTGAAGAGCCGAAGCCGTCTTGCAGCCGTTTTTGACGCCCCAAATGCGGCCTCAAGCGCAACGAAAGGGCTCAAGATTCCCCATTACGACGGAACAACATCCTGGACCGCGTTCAAGCTACAGTTTGAGACACTTATGGAGGCTTATGGTTGGACTCAGAAGGAAGCACAGTCAGCCCTCACCCTGGCCCTCCGTGATCAAGCGCTCTCAGTGCTGGAAGCTATCGGCGCAAGTGGGGATCTCAGCTTTAGTACCCTCCTCGACGCACTTGAGGCACGTTTTGGAGACAGCCACCTCGAGCACGTGTACAGAGCGCAATTAAAAGAGCGTACTCAGCGTGCTAATGAGAGTCTACAGCAATGGTCCGTGGAAATCGAGAAACTTGTGCGTCGAGCTTTTCGGTCGACTCCATCAATGATTGAAGGCACGCTTCTCCAAGCATTCATTGACGGTGTTCGGGACCCCGAAGTACGAGCTGTTGTTCATCTAGGCCATCACAAGAACATGAAAGAAGCTCTGGCCCATGCATTGGAAGTGGAAGCCGTGCGTGGTAACTCCCGTACCTTACGTCTGCGGGAAATGACGACAACGGAGCAGGTACCTCCACGCCGTCGGAACTTCATGTGCTATGGATGCGGAGAGCGTGGGCACATGCGGAGCGACTGCCCGAAGAAGGTGAACCGCCAGGACGCGGCGGTCTCAACTTCTGACCAGCAGGGAAACTAAATCCAGCCAGGGCTGCGGGGTGGGCGCTGGCCGGTAGTGGAATAACCCCAACAATCTACATCAAGCAAACTAGCGATGGAAATACTCTGGTGATAGACGGTCAAGTAAATGGGAAAAACAGTCAGCTAACATTAGATACTGGAGCTTCAAGGACGGTGATAAATGTTCGGCTGCTCGGGCAAAACATCAGGAAACACGTTAAACCAGTTGTTGGCCTACGAATGAAATCAGCTACCGGCCAGTGCATACCGATAAGTGGAAAACTGCATGTAACAATCAAAATTGGGGAACGTGTTTATCGACATGAGGTTATTGTGGCCAAAATTCTGGATGACTGCATCCTGGGACTTGACTTCCTGCAAGGGCACCAGTGTAACATCGACTTAAAATCTGGAGTATTACTATGTGGAACTGAAGAAATTCCGATGAAGGGTGGAACCCTGGGAAAAGTTTGCTGTTTAAGAAGAACTGTTCTTGAACCAAAATCACAGACTCTCGTACCAATCGCATTACCTAGGAGGAGGGAAGGAAGTTTACCTCTAAGGTGCGCTGTGATTGATAAATCGGAACACGTAAACTCATGGCTACCGGCGAGAACTGTCGTGGGGTCATCTGATGTCAACCGCATTCCGGTATTCAACTTCAGTGATTCAAAAATTACGATTGAAGAAGGAGAGCCTGTGGGCGTATTGGAAGAAGTGGCCTGGATAAGAAAATGCTCGGAGAATCTTGTGAAGAAGGACAGTACGGGAATAGACTTTGTAACGAAAATCTTAGACGAAAACAAAAGTCTGACAAAAGTGGAGACTATGAAAGCTAGAAATTTACTTCTTCGATTCTCTGATGTGTTTTCAAGAAGCGATGGTGATATTGGCCGAACTGGTTTAGTGAAGCATAAAATAAACACAGGTGATACAATGCCAATTCGTCAAAGGCCCAGACGCATACCATTCGCTCGTGAGAAAGAGGTTGAAGAAATGATTGACGATATGAGGAAAAATGACGTGATAGAGCCCTCTTCTAGCCCTTGGTGTTCACCTGTCGTGCTGGTCAAGAAGAAAGATGGTTCAACGAGGTTTTGCGTAGACTATCGACGATTGAATGATGTAACCAAGAAGGATAGCTACCCGTTACCAAGAATCGATGACACACTTGACACACTGAGTGGCATGAAATGGTTTTCAACGCTCGATCTGAAAAGCGGCTATTGGCAGGTGGATTTGGATCCCAAGGACAAGGAAAAGACCGCATTCTCAACTGGGAAGGGACTCTGGCAATTTAAGGTGATGCCATTTGGATTATGCAATGCACCGGCAACCTTTGAGCGTTTGATGGAACAGGTGCTGGCGGGACTGCTGGGCGAAACCTGCCTAGTTTACCTCGATGACATCATCATTGTTGGACGGGATTTTGACGATCATCTAAGGAAATTGGAAAAGGTACTCGATAAGCTGCGTGGAGCAAATTTAAAGTTGAGTCCAAAGAAATGCTCTTTCTTCAAGCGCGAAGTGAATTATCTAGGACATGTTATTTCTGAGAGAGGAATTGAGACTGATCCAGCCAAGACTGCCGCTGTTAAGGAATGGCCAACACCTAAAGACAAAACGCAAGTTCGGGCATTTCTTGGATTGTGCTCGTATTATCGGCGGTTTGTGAAAGGATTCTCGGACATTGCCAAGCCTTTGCATCGATTGACAGAGGAGAAACGTGCCTTTATCTGGGACGAGGATTGTGAGCAAGCCTTTCGAGAACTAAAAGAACGGCTTTGTAACACACCAATTCTCGGATACCCCAGCGCGAAAGGAATATTCGTAGTTGATACGGATGCCAGCAATATTGGAATAGGAGGTGTCCTTTCACAACGCGATGGTGAGCAGGAGAAGGTTATTGCTTACTTCAGCAAGTCACTATCCAAGCCGGAGAAGAATTATTGCGTGACCAGGAGGGAATTGCTGGCCGTAGTCAAAACTCTGCACCATTTCAAGAAGTATTTACTGGGACGGAAATTTTTGATCAGAACTGATCACGCTGCTTTGAAATGGCTGCTTCAGTTTAAGGATCCCGAAGGCCAAGTAGCCAGATGGTTGGAACAACTTCAGGAATTTGACTTTGAAATCGAACATCGCGGCGGAAGAATTCATGGCAACGCAGATGCATTATCGAGACGCCCATGCGTGGAAGATTGCAAGCATTGTGCCAAGAAGGAAACTGCTTTTCTTAAGGTGATAAGGACTGATACTGTTGACGAGGCATGGGGAGATGATGCGATGAAATTAGAACAGGAAAGAGATGCAGATATCAAACCAATACTGGAGTGGCTACGAAGTGGTAACAAGCCAAGTTGGAGTGACGTCGCCCAATATAGCGCGGTAACGAAAGGTTTATGGGCACAGTGGAAAAGCCTCACGCTGCATAACGGACTTCTGTGCAGGAAATGGGAATCAACAAACGGCAAGGACGAGCATTTGCAATTGGTGGTGCCTCGTTCAAAAATAAGGGATGTATTAAAAGCGTTCCATGATGGATCTTCTGGAGGACATTTGGGAATTAGGAGGACTTTAGTGAAGATCAAGGAGAGGTTTTATTGGTTGCATTGCAAATATGACGTCGAAGATTGGTGCCGGAAATGCACTAGTTGTGCAGCTGTCAAGGGTCCACAAACAAGAAGCAGAGGGGCGATGAAAATCTACAATGTTGGTATGCCTTGGGAGAGAATAGCCTTAGACATCGCTGGACCATTTCCAATCACTGATTCGGGCAATCGCTACGTTTTAGTGGTTATGGATTATTTTACAAAATGGCCGGAGGTCTTTGCCATACCGAATCAAGAGGCAGTAACTGTAGCCACGAAGTTGGTAAACGAGGTATTCACCCGATTCGGAGTGCCCTTGGAGATGCACAGTGATCAAGGACGGAACTTTGAATCCCAAGTTTTCCAGGAAACTTGTAAACTTTTGGGAATCCATAAGACTCGAACGACCCCTTATCATCCACAGTCAGATGGAATGGTCGAACGCTTCAACCAAACATTGGAGCGACACTTAGCAAAGGTGGTTGACAGCCATCAGAGAGATTGGGACACTTACATACCTCTCTTCTTGCTTGCCTATCGGACTGCTGTACATGAAAGTACCGCAAAGACGCCTGCATTTGCAAATTTTGGAAGGGAATTGAGATTACCGGCAGATCTTGTATCGGGCTGTCCACCTGGTGATTCTCGCACCGAGTTTAGCGATTACATAAGCGAGTTAAGGGCAAAAATGTTGGACATTTATGAGCAGATCAGGGAGGCCGGTCTTCAAGCTAGTGATCGCGCAAAGACGCGCTATGATCGACGAGCCAATTCTGTTGGGTTTGAAGAGGGGTCATTGGTCTGGCTTCATAATCCAGTCAGAAGGAAGGGAAAATCTCCAAAGCTGCAACCGAGTTGGGAAGGTCCTTACGAGATAGTCACGAAGATCAATGACATTACTTACAGAATTCGGAAGTCTGCAAGGAGCCCTTTGAAAGTTGTCCATATAGACAGGTTGGCGAGGTATTACGGCAGCAACGATGCTCGGGACGAGCGAATCTAAGAGGGGGGCAGTGTGACAGAAAACTCTTTGACATCATGACGTCAATGGATGGTTGTCAAACGTTGCCTAGAGATTGTAAATTTCGTCGTGAATTGTCAACACGAGTTGGTGTAATCGGTAAGGCGTGTGGATTACACCACAGAGACCCCGAGTTCGAGTCCCGCCGTAAACATGAAGTTTTTTAGTTGATGGAAGTTTTGTCGAACTTTCTGGAATATTTGAGTGAAAGTGATGAAAAATTAAGGAGCGAGAAGAAGAATAAATAAAAATGAATAACGAAATTATTGGAAGATTCTGGAGGCATGACGATCAAAAAGAATAACGAAATTGAATGTTCTAGAACCTGACCGGGGGTATATAAGCGGAACTGCGGCTCACCGCTGGCAGTTGAGTTCTAAGTCTAAAGCGATTCGGAAGAAAAGGAAGAAGTGAGAAAGAAGAAAAGTGAGTGAAATAGTGAAGTGCAGTGAAATAGTGAAGTGCAGTCAGTTAAGTGAGTTAAGTCAGCGTGAACGGCAAAGTTGTGTCAGTCGGCCGGACTCTGCTGGAGAGGAACGCCGATAACTTAACTCCGTGGACGCTGTAACTTAAGTGCAATAGAAAGTCTGAAAACCGGTATTAGTGTTTCATTTCATCCAATCCCGTAACCCAAGCCCGCATAGTCAGGAACGTGACGTCAGGCACGTAACATTACATTATTTGCCTTAGCCACAGCAACGCGTGTGCAGCACTCTGTCATATTATATGACAGAGCGGCAAACGAGTCACCGATTAGCCAAAGCAATTAGAACTGTCCATGGACACCCCACAACACCAGAGAAATGCCGGATGAACGACGGGTTCCAGCAACGTCACTCACACAGTGAAACATAAAACTGTGGCTGTTTTTTTTTCGGTGAGGTCGTGATATCACTCCGACCTATTCATGCCGAAAAATGGCTCTCCCAAAATTTGTTGCTTGTTTTGTTTAATCATTTGACCTACGACTGAGAAAAAAGTATAGGTATATGGCATTGTTCGAATCACAAATCTGGATTTTTTTAGCTACTTTGTATATAAAATGTTGTCGCCAACCAATGGCTTACCCACGCTAGGATTTTCTCCTGTATAGTGTTTGCAGTCTCTGTGAAAATACAATGGCACATACGCACCACACAAAGACCTGAAATAACAAATTGTATGATAGATAGTACAAAGAGTTGTTTCAAGCGGAATCTAAGCCGCGACACATTATGCAATACAAAGACTTTTTTTTAAACTAGATTTCGTAAAATGTCGTTGTGGCAGCTTTCCATGCACTATCAAATTAGTTCAGGTAAGATACCTAACCTGACAAGTAGCGCAGTGAGTTAAACATTGAAAGAAAACATCATGAGGAAACTTGGACTTATAATTTTTACATATGAGTTTGAAGTTGCCTATCCG